AATTTAATTTAGTTTTTATTTTTAATTGAATTTAAGTTAGTTTTATTTATTTGAATTTATTTTTCTCCCTTTAAATCAATTTAATTAATTCAATTAGTTTAATTTAGTTTAGTTTTTATTTTTAATTGAATTTAGTTTAGTTTTATTTATTTGAATTTATTTTTTGCGGTTTTTGGCTTTTCCTTTTTGCTGCTTTCTTCTTTTTGATTTCCAAATAATTCTTTTTGAATTTTAATTAATTCTATTTGAATTTTAATTAATTCTTTTCGAATTTTCATTAATTATTTAATCACATACCAATTAATTCTTTTCAATGTTCAATTAATTCTTTCTAACATCTATTTAATTCCTTTTATTTATTCAATTTTAAATTCAAATTAAATTAATTCAATTTAAATTTAAAATTTCTCTTTTTGCTGCAGGCAGCAGATTTGAACTATCTTCATCTTTTGGCCCTCAGGCAAAAACTGGCCCGCGGCAGAGGCTTCGAGTCTTGGGCAGCTTTTGCACAAAGGTGCAGCTTGCTGCTGCTGCTGCTGCTGCTGTTGCTGTTGCTGCTGGTGTTGCTGCTGTTGCTGCTGCTGTAGTCGCTGCTGCTGGTGTTGCTGTTGCTGCTGCTGCTGGTGTTGCTGGTGTTGCTGCTGCTGATGTTGCTGCTGCTGGTGTTGCTGCTGCCCCTGTTAGTTCTTGCTACTGCTGTTGCTCGTGCCCCTTCTGCTGTTGCTACTGCTGTTGCTGCTGTTGCTGCTGTTGCTGTGGCTGTTGTTGCTGCTGCTGTTGCTGTTGCTCTTGTTGATGCTACTGTCGTTCCTGCTCGTGTTGCTGTTGTTGCTGCTGTCGTTGCTGCTGCTGCTTCTGCTGCTGCTGCCTTGGCGCTGCGGCGTCGTTGCTGCTGCTGCTGGTGCTGCTGCTGCTGCTGCTGCTCCTGCAACTTCAGCAGCTCTTGTTGCTGCTTCTGCTGCTGGTTTCTTCGCTGCTGTACCAGCAACAACGAAACGTGCTGAGTACGCACCTCAGAGCTTAGGGTTTGTGAGTTAGCATTTAGGGTTTGGGTTTAGGGTTTAGGGTTTAGGGTTTAGGGTTTGCGTTTGCGGGCCAAGGGAAGGCATATTGCGAACTCCCGCTGCAGTGTCGACATTTCTGGAGCGAATTGAGTCAGCGCTGGAGGTGGGCCTAAACCCCAGCCGCCAAAACCCTAAGCCCTAAACCCTAAACCCCAAACCCTAAACCCTTATTTGCTGCGTTTCTGGGGCCACTCAGCTGCCGCTGGAGCGAGAGCTGCAGCAAATGAAAGCAGCAGCAAAACTGCTTCCAGAAAAGTTTAAAATTGAAGGCGAAATAAACCCTTGGGATGTTCCTTTCCTGATGGAGTGCCACGCGCTGCAGCAAGGACGCAACAGGCAAACCCTAAACCCTAAACCCTAAACCCTAAACCCTAAGGCCTGCGTTACAGCTTGCGCAGACGCAGCTGTGTCATTCCCGGTTGAGTTTGACTCAAACTCAAAACCCTTTAAAGTAGCTGTTGGAGTCTTTTTCACGGGCCATGGCTCGAAACCCTAAACCCTAAACCCCAAGCCCTAAACCCTAAACCCTAAAGCGTGCTTTGCCTAGCCAGGTTTTGTTCCCCTTCGCCAGCCATGGTTGCCTACCAGTGATTAGCTGAGGCCTCAGACTGAGAATTTTCGACTTACGACCTAAGATATGGTTCGCAGGCTTGAGGGTTTAGGGTTTAGGGTTTAGGGTTTAGGGTTTGGCTTCAGGCCTTCTGAGCCTCAGCGACTAAGTCTTGAGACTGTGTGGAGACGGGCAGTCGAGCTGTTGGAGAAGATGACAGGGTTTACGTTGACGCCAACTCTTCCCGCCCCAGGTGAGTCGAGGGTTTAGGGTTTAGGGTTTAGGGTTTAGGGTTTAGGGTTTAGGGTTGAAGGCCTAGAGTTGGGGGCCCGGTATGAATGCTGTGGACGGCAAACGCCTGCAGCCAGCAGTTAATATCATGATGTGGGCACTCCGAGACTTAAGTAAAGGGTTGAGGGTTTAGGGTTTAGGGTTTAGGGTTTAGGGTTTAAGGTTTAGGGTTTGAGGACCTGCTGCAGTCGAGACGTGGCACTGGAGCGTTCTCAAGTTTGAGCTGCGCCCAATTGATAAGGCTAGGGGGGCCCCTGGGGGCCCCTGGGGGCCCCTTGGGGGCCCCCGGGGGCCCCCCCGGGGGGGG